CAAGGTCCCCAGCTTGTTAGGGACAGGATTCCAACCCAGACAGTCTAGCTCCAGAGCGCAGGTTAATATTTCCCTCTTAGGGTCTCACTGTGGCCTAACCAGGATAATTAATGTGTTGGAGAGTTCCTGGCCCATAGGGCGAGCTCATAAGAGTTACTCTCCTTATCCCCTGACCAAGTGCAGATGCAAAGTCAGGGCTGTATTGCCTCAGACATGAACCTCACTCACACTAGTACAAATCCTATACAGGGATGCAAACGCCACTAGCCCCTGGGACACAGTCCACCTTCGGTTTTGCATTCAACACCCGGAATGTAGGGTTGACTGGCAGGACGCACTGGCCCCCCTTGGTGGGGAGCACCCTCAAGGCAAATCAGTGGCAAGTGAAATTCACAAAGCTACCATTTCATCGGAAACCTGAGGGGGAAGGATATTTGACGTGGGACACGCCTACTGAATGCCTGGATCCTCATCACTGGGCACACAGTATACAAAGGAGAATTAGGAGCCCTGTAGAAAATGAACTAGGTTTAGAAGAAATTGAATGCCAAAAAGAATTACAGTCTCAACAAAAAATAACTTCTACACATGGTTTTCTCCCTATTGTCTGTATTCACACAGCTCTAGACTTTGGTACAGAACTGTGTTTAAACACTAAAATGCTTTGTTTTGCAGATAGACACTGAATATGTAATTAAAAGGATCCCTTCATTAGCAGAACTAGACAATGAAAGCCCAAGTTGGCCTTCTCTGCTAATTTTGGAGGTTGTAAAAGAGAGGCTAATACAACCGCTGATTATGGTTGTCACATAGTGCCCTGCTGTTCTCCAGAGATAGACAGGTCTTCCCAGTAATCGGCAGCCAGAAGCAGAGGGCTGTGGTGGTGTCAGGGTTAAAATGTGGCCTCTGGAGACAGCCACCCGTTTCAGTTCCAGCTTATCACTTAGGCAGCCCACTTAACTCTCCCAGCTTCGGTGTCCTCCAACGTAAACCTGAGCCAATTATTGTGTCTAATTAATTGAATTGTCATGAGAACTCATTGAAACAGTTACTATATTTACTGCCAGATATTCTGAGCACCTACTATGTGCCAGGAATGTATTGAGGCTAAACACCGTCATAATAAATGAGAGCACTGCCTGCCCTCCCAGCTTTCAATCTAGTAAAGGAAACAGGCATCAAACAGTTGCACAGATCACCCTTTCAGTCGTGATAATGACTGCGAAGAAAAGATGATGATGATGATGACGATGATGATGATGATGATGTTGATGATGATGATGTACAAAGTCTGGAAGGTTATCTAGAAAGGGATGGTTGCTTCTATCTCCAATAGCTTTGGGAAGCTTTTTGGAAAAGGTGGCATGGAATCTAAGATGGGAAGGATGAGTGTTTTTCAAGGGAAATTGGAAACGAGCATTTAAGAGAGGAGGGAGTGGTGTGCAATGTGGAAGACAGGGCAGTAAGCAGGCAGTGACCAGACGTGCCTGCCCGGTGGGGCCCTGGGCAGCCAGCACAGACAAGACTCACAGTTTGAAACATCCTTCTCTGGGCTTCTGTAAGAAGCTAGCACGAGCCTAATCGTCCACAGAGAGACGGGTGGTGCACTCAAAGGGCTGAGGAGGGACTTGGCAACCCTTTTGGGCAAAAGAATTCTTGGCCCTGCCTGCCGGAGTGGCTGGGAGAGCCTGGAGCTTCTCCCTCAGTGTCAGAGTTCTGGCGTCTGGCATTTCAGCCCAATAGTGATGTTGTTTTCTCCTTTTTTCTTTTTCTTTTTTTAAGGCTCTGGACAGGGAGTCAGGAGAAGTGGGCCTGCCTTTGCCACCACCTCAAGCAAGTGGCATTGCTTCGACTTCCCCATAAAGGAAAATGAGGTCACTGCTAGTGCCCCCCTAAGCCGCAGTTCAACTTGCTCTGTATGTGGAGAGAGGCAGTTACTTTGTGGCATTGTTTTGTGGCATCAATAATCCTCAGTAGAGAGCCATGGTATCAGATAAGGGGCAGATGTTCAGTGAGGCCCGAGAAAATGGTGGGGCTTTAGTTAGCTTGGGACAAGAGGCAGGTGCAGTCCAAGCTTAGGCAGTCTGCAGTGAGATTCCCCAGGTGACCTGGCTTAGAGGAACAGGGCCACTGTCTGGTGTCCAGTTAAAGGGGCTTTGGGGGGGAGGGGGGGGGCGGGGCAGAATGTCAGAAATTGGTTAAGGAAACTCCATACTTTCCTGAGTTCCCAGAGCTGTATGCCCACCTCTCACCTTGAGGCTGGTGACTGGACCGGGGGCCTCTCGCGATGATGGCATACGGGAGACAAAGATGTGGTGAATCTAACCAAGGTGTCTCACAGGTATTGAGGCTGTGCTAAGCATCATGCATTCCTTTGCTCTGTAATTACATCAGTTCTAAAGGTTAGTACCATTATTATTCCCAGTCTACATGAGAGGAAACTGAAGCTGTGAGGTTATCTGACTTGCCCAAGGACACCCAGGTGGAGAGTGCAGAGCTGGGATCTGCACGGAGCCTGAGCACCCCCTGCCTCTCACTCGGACCACCTGGCAGCACCCCTCCCTGGCCTGTGAGACGGCACAGTTCACTAACTGCCCGAGCTCTGAGACAAAGAGCAAGAGGGACAAGGTGGCGATACCGCTCTGGGCAGAGGGGCAGAGCAGAGCCCTGTTAGAAAAGTAGCATATGGGAGGTCTTTGTAAAATGAGTTGTCAGTTCCTTCATCCGGAAAATGAGAGGACTGGGCCCCATGAGCCCTGAAGGCCTCCTAGCTCCACAGTAGTGAGCTCTGGTCAGTGGGAATGGGGGCCATAGAGTACGTCCTCGTGAGTGTCCTTGTGTTCATGCGTTGCCTGGCCTGGCAGGAAGATGCTCCTGCAGAACCCGGGTCAGGCAGCTCTGGGGATCCTCCCGAGCAGGGACAGAGACCTGATCTGCTGCTGCTGCCAGGCCTTCGTTAATTCACAAACGCAACAAACACTGTGCGTCAGTGATTCGTGTGAGCCCATAGCTGATTTGTTTGGCAATCACAGTGGAACAGCCCCACTCAGACAAATGCGGGTCCCTCCCAGGGCATCACACTGAGGGCAGTTACAAGCCTCTGAGCAGACTCCTCTGGACGCTTTCTAGAAAGGCTGTGCTTTATCCTAAACAGTTGTGTGCCAGGCTTAGGCTCAGCACCCTCCCAGCCACTCTCCCTGGTAAGCCTCACACCACCCCATAAGTCAGAGACTTCTGTAGGGGAGGAAAAGAGGAGTTCAGAGAAGTTGTGTAACCAGGATGAGTTGCAGCGTGATAGGGTGGAAAGCATCTGGGCTTTGAACTCAAATAGATCCAGGCTCAAATCCTCATCCTCAGCCATTTAATAGCGGAGTAGCCTTTAGAAAGTGGTTTAACCTCTCTGAAGCTGATTTTTTTCTCATCAGGAGAAATAGGGCCAATGGGGCCACTTGTAGTACCTAATCTATAGGCTCATTGCCAGGGTCAGAGGAGATGTGACAAGTAACCCACCTGGCCCTCGGGTGCTCAGTGCCTGGTTACTCCCGTGCATGGAAGCGGCTTCGTGCAGTAGTTAGAAATAAGGAACTCTGCATCCTGGGTTTCTGTCCCTGATCCACAACTTGTTTAGTTAGTATCTTTGTGCCTTGGTTTCCTCATCTGTAAAATGGAAGTGATGATAACTCCACTTCATAGGATTTTGTAAGATTAATTGTTTTTAATGACAGTTCCTGGCACATAGTAGGTAGGTGTTACCAGTACCATCAACACTGTGTGTCGCTGTTGGTGTTACGCGATGCTATGGAAGAAAGTGGACAAGTGAGGTGGAAGTGGCCAGGCAAGTGTTCAGAGGCCAGCAGATGAAGGGGAGCAGGTGGGAACAGACCCAGTGTGGGTCTAGGTCAGTGATAGCGAACCCATGACACGCGTGTCAGAGGTGACACACGAACTCATTTTTTTGGTTGATTTTTCTTTGTTAAATGGCATTTAAATATATAAAATAAATATAAAAAATATAAGTCTTTGTTTTACTATGGTTGCACATATCAAAAAATTTCTATATGTGACACAGCACCAGAGTTAAATTAGGGTTTTTCAAAATGCTGACACGCCGAGCTCAAAAGGTTCACCATCACTGGTCTAGGTCTTCTAGGGACTTGAACATCAGACAAAGCTCTCATTCAGACTTTTTCCTCATCAGTTTGGAAACACATGCTTCACCCATTCTGTAGTCTGTCGCCTTCTCTTCAAATAGCATAGCATCACCATCAAGCAAATGGGGCCTCTGTGATGGCAGACATTTATCAAGTGACAGAGCTGGGCGACATGGTAGTTATGTTTATTTTTAGTGCCTTCATCCTCCAACTCTTTAAATGAGCTGCTGGGCTAATTTAAGGGACTTCTGCCACACATAGCTAGCAGTTTCCTCAAGAATGCCAACGTGCATTTGAAATTGCAAGTGACTGGGGGGACAGGTCTCAGCCAAATTATAGGGGAGGAAGCCCGCTTACCTCCCTTGGCCAGTGCAGCCCACTGCCCACCAGGCTCTCCTGCTGGATCACAGGATCGCTGGGAACATGAGCCAGGGCATTCTGTCCCCCATGGTCAAGCAGTTACCAGTCATCTTTCAGCTAGACTTCAGCCGGCATCAGCATCAGGTCAGGGCTTCCTAAAACAGATTGCCTGCTCGCTCACAGGTTCTGAGTCCACAGGTCTGGAGTGGAGCCAAGAATGTGCATTTCCAACAAGCTCCCGGCTGATGCTGATGCTGTTGCTTCAGGGACTGACCGTGCTTTCAGAATCATTGGCTTGGATGTTCCAATAGCTTCCTGGCATCATCCATCCCCAATCAGGGACCATCCCGCTGATAGACTCCTTCGTCTTCACCGCACTTCTCTCCCTAAAACCCACCAAATCCAAGCCCCCTTGTCTGATATTCCAGATCCCATAAGACCCAGGCCCACATGGGCTTTCAGGTCATATGCCCACCTGTTTCTCTTCAGGCATACCGCCTCCTGCCGAGACCCAGCAAACCTGCTCTTTCCACATGCTCTGGGCCCCAACTCTGGACACTCACGTGGCTACCTCCACCTCCTCAGTGATTACAATGGATGGGGCTTGTCTTTCCCCACTGGGTCAAGTGCTTCTGGACTGTGTGCACGTCGCCTATGTGTCCCAGGCCCCAGGGACAGGTAAGTGCTTGCGGAGTGGTTCATGAATGAATAAATTGTCAAAGGGATGCTTAACTAAAAACGGAAAGTATTTCTCTGAGAGAATTCGAGTGCCTTTCCTGAATCGGCAACTTTTCCTTGCTTTGTCTGCCTTTCTCTGTTGTTAATTTCTGGGAATATACACAGCTTATACAGAAGAAGAAAAGTCTTTGGTTTGATTTCAATCAAATTATTAGCATAAGAATTATATAGTGAACTAAATATAAAGTGTTTAGTGAGACAGTCCTTAGTATAACCTCTGATTCCACTATTGATTTGTGATGTTGGGCATGTATTCAGGTTCTCTGGGCATCAGATTCCTAATCTGTGAAATGGGAACAGTTTCTACCTACCTTTTAGAATTGTTATGAGGGGGCAAATGAAATGATATGTTGCTTGGCACAATGCTTGAAATATATGTAGCAGGTCCCCAGTAAATACTGGTGATTTTTGACAGTTGCTTGCCAGGCAAAATAGAGATTAGGTGTTTTTTCACAAGAGTTTTAATAAAAATAATTCCATTTTATTGAAAAACGATAATAAACCATTCTGAGATGCTTTCCCCTATTTTAATGAATCAAGGATACACCAAATTCAATTTTAAAAAACTGCCCCAACGGACTAATAAACTTGATTTATATTTTTTACTAATCACTTCTATTTCATAAGCCCGACATTTCCATTAAAGTGCTATTAAGTAAAAACAAGATTTTATAGTATTTGTGATAACCTGGATCTCAATGTGATAACTGAAATTATCTCCAGCAAAGATACTATTCCTCATTGTTTTATTTCCTCTTATATATCAGCTATATCTTTACTACCTTCTTCCAGTCGAGTAAAACCCTTTCCCCCTGAATCTGTGGTTTTGAGTCCAGGAAAATGGCATCTGTGGCTTGGAAGGCCCTTTTCATCTTGAGGTTGTTAATTGGGATGCAGAAGAAAGGGAATGGTGCTCATCCATCCGCTGCGTGCTGCGGCCCTTGAGAGAAACATGAAAGGCTCTGGGGGCAGGTGGGACGCAGGCTGTTGACCCTGGAGGGAGACATCCTCTAACATGCCATCGGGAAGACCTGAGAGGTCCCCATCACCAGGACAACCAAGCTAAGGCCACCACGCTGGAGGGCCTGCTGATTAAATGGCCCGTTGGTATTGATGTCTCCCTAGGATTATGGTTTCTTCTCTAAAATGACATCATTGTGAGACTGTTCTGGAACTAGAGAGGGTTCTGCAACATTGTGAAGGTACTGGATGCCATAGGGTCATACACTTCAAATACTTAAAAATGGTGAGTGAGTGTTATGTACATTAGACCATAATAAAAGGAAATCGATGATGTCATTGGACAGAATGACACCAAGGCTGCATCTAGTCACACGTGTTGTTTCTGAGGGAGCACATCACTTAGGTCACCTGACTGTTTAGTCAAAGACAGGCCATGCAGACACTCACTCCTTAATTCAGTGATGGTTCAGGCACACTACGAAGCATTGCGTGTCCATGAGAAATTGAGCTCCTGAAAACATGTTCAGTGCCACAGGAAGATACTTACAGTGTGCAAGAAGAAGGATTTTAACTGTGCGTCATGTGATCCTAACTTGACAGATAAATCAAAACGTTAACACAGTTCATCCCTGACTCATGGGGTTACAAATGGTTTTGATTCCGTAATACATTTCTCAAGTTGTCTACAAAGGGCATGAATTACTATTAGAGCCCATAAAAACGATTTAAAGCAAACAATAAATAGCAGTACTTAGGGTGTTGTAAGCCCCGACGTGCATGTGATGTGCTGCAGAGTAATGATGGCAAAATGGAGTGAGCACTGGTGAGAAGCACGGGTTTATGACTCGGGGCCAGCTGGGGCGCAGAGGTGCCCCACCCTGCTGCACCTCAGTGTCTCCACCTGGAACAGGGGTGTAATAACCACAGACTACCTCACGGGGCTGCATGAAGAGCACACGAGATCGTGCAGGTGGGACAGTTGTGTCGATTGACACATTTTCTGAGCTGTTTCCCTGGTCACTAAGTGTATTCACACTGTACATTTCCGAATCTTCCCTTTAACATCAACTTAATGAGTGCTTACAAAGTCGGTGCGTACCACTTATCTAGTAACTTAAGCGCTAACTTCCATCAGCAGTGCTGCTTGCTTTTTCTCATCTTTCTTCCTATAACCTTAATAGGAGAGCATTTCATTTCATCTGAGAAGGAACCACCTGACTTTTACTTCCTGCCTCCAGTTGAAGGAGATGAGGATGAAGCCAGTTTGGCTGCCGGAAAGTTGCGCCCCCTGGGAACCTGGGCCGCTCCCCTTTGCAGGAGGGAGCATTTGTGTCCCCAGAACACTGTTGAATTTTCTTGAATATCAGAATAATTTCATAAAACATCTTGACTAAGGAATCACAGCAATATAACCATTTTTTGTACGAGTTCCAAATAAGAAAATAGTTAAGCCCGAAAATATAATTGTGCCTATTCCTAGAAACAGATAACTGATGTATCTTTGCAAATTGTTCATTTAACCGTGCCTATGGCTTCTTGCCAACCCTCAATGAGATTTTTATATTTCTTAATTATTCAATTACTACCCACAAGTAGGAGTTTAAAAATCAAATCCAGGCGGTTCCATAATAAATAGAGTATTCTCTTGAATCCTGAGTACATATAGTCAAGGAAGTTGTCCTATTGGGAAACCAGGATGGTAGGATGGGGGAAGCGTAAGTTTCCAGGGCAGGCCCTGTCCTGGGCCTGAATCCTGGCTTTGGCATGGACTGGCTCTGTGAGTGTGGGCAGGTCGCTTCTCTGAAGTCAGTTCTCTGGTCTGTACAGTAAAAATGGTGACAATACCCACCTCCCGAGGTTTCTGTAACTCTAAAGGAAAGGAGATTGTGCAAGAGAAAGTCTCTCTGTGCTGTAAAGCCTGCTCCAGCTGGTTCAATTGTTAATCCCTTGTGTGCTTCAGGTCTCAGCAGCTGGAGAACCCACCAGCCGGAAAGGAAGATCCTTCCGACAATGATCTGCCCATCACCTCGGAAGGCAACCCCAAACCTGAAGCCCACCTGCCCTCCATCTGCCTCAAGCAGGTGTTCCCCAAGTATGCCAAGCAGTTCAACTACCTGCGCCTGGTGGACAGGATGGCAAACTTGTTTATCCGGTTCCTGGGAATCAAGGGGACAATGAAGTTAGGACCAACAGGCTTCCGTACCTTCATAAGGTCAGTGAGACCGGCCCTTCTGACCTGGGCTGCGGGCAGGGTAGGGTCCAGCCCCACTTCTGGCCAGTCCCATCTGCCCTACTGCTGCTGGGGGCTGGGGGCTCTGGTGCTGGGTCAGGGCCCCCCTACGGTTGGATCTGACCAGTGTCTTCTTTGTTGAATGAATGAATGAATGAATGAATGGATATTATGAGTGTGTCAGCATTCACAACCTTATGTTGTGGTTAAAAAACAATTCTGTGCTACCTTGAACCAGGTCTTGAAACCACATATAAGTAATCCCCCTGCCCCCCCTCCCCTCCCCGGACTCAGACAGACCTGGGCTTCCTGAACTGGGCTGATGTTCTCCCAGCAGCATGTGGCTGCGTGGGGAGTGTTTATGAAGCCACAGCCAAGAGACAAGGCACATCTTTCCAAAGTGTCAGTTTTAGGAGAGAAAAGTTAAATAATTCAGTCAATAAATAATTTAACATGTTTGCTCTACTATAAAGATAACAAGGTTATATTATAGAGTATAATACACATTTTGCATGATTTTCAAGATAAAACTAGATTTTTGCTGACACCTATGAAATAAGCCATTGCCACTTAATCTCTGTAGATTATTCATCATTTGCCTCTTACCTGGGACACGTGGGGGCAATACGGGAGCATGTACTAGCTGTGTAACCCTTGGGCAAATTAATGACCATCTCTGAACCTCGATGGACCTATCAAATGGGGTGAAGCTCCTTGTACCCCAGCACAGTGTGTTGTACACCTCAGACAAACTGTCAGCATTGATGCTACCGTTGTTTTTCTCATCATTGCTTTTACTATCTCTACCTTGCTCCTCAAAGTCACACACTTCATGGTTTATTCACTAAAGCAAATAATTAGAAGTTTTGACTGAGGAACCATTTTTGTCCCAGTTTTCTCTAAGGGAATTTTACAAACTCTAACTCTAACTCTGATGTTTCTGATAGAATGTTAAACGGCAGTATTAGCAGAATTTTTGCCATTTCAGTAACCCTGAAGTAGTATTTGCTCGGTGATTTTGAGAAGGGCTTTGTGTTAGTTTCAGGGGCAAAAAGAAAGCTAGTGGAAGAGCACAGGCTTTGGGGTCTGGCTTCAAAGCCAAGTGCATTGCTGTGTGGCTTTGGGCAAGTCGCTTGTCTCCTCTGAGTCTCATCGGTAAAATGGGAACAATCTCTCCTGCCTTGCAAGGTTATCATGAGGTTGGGATATAATATATCATAAAACACCTGGCCCAGTGCCTAGTTCAGGGGAGCTGTTTGTTAAATGGGAGTCTGATTATTATTTCTAGTAGGCAGTTGAAATTTCAAGAAAGTCAACAGACACATGTTATTTGTCTGAGAAAATAACAACACCCTCTGACTCGCTTAGGAATTTCATTTGATGTGCAGTAATGGATAACCACCTTTAAATAGTTTAGATAGTGCGATTCGTTTCTGTCGTATAACAGGAAGTTTGGCAGTGGGGGTTCTCGGGCTGGTTAATGGCTCCACAAAGTAGTCAGCACCCACTTTCTGTCTTTCTGCTCATCCATCCTCAGCATGAGCTTCTAGCTTCAGAGTTGCCTTGTGTTCACAAGGTGGCTGCTCAAAATCCAGCCATCATGGCCAAGTTCCAGGCAGGAAGGAGGAAGAAAAGAGGATGTGCAGAAGGCCTCTGCCAAATGAATTAGACCCTTTTCCAAAGCTTTCCAGAAGCTGTATTCAATGACTTCCATTTCATCTATCTTCTTGGCCACTGCCATCTGCATGGGAGGCTGGGAAATAGAATTGTTCTGTATATATTGCTGTCCTAATACAGTGACGACAACGAGGAAGAGGAGAAAAATAGGTAAACATTCTCTGCCCCTTTGTGATTGCTGTGGCCTGGGACATAGGGAAACAGCTCAGTGACAGGGGCCCCGAGTCATGAGGGCTCTTGAGGTGCCGTGGACATGTGCAGGGACACAGGGGAGTGATGAGGGTGCGCAGTCTTCTCTCAGCATGACACGTCCAGGGGCTTAGACCTTCCAGAGCAAAGGCAGGAGCTTCCTGGGCCCTTCCCAGCCCCTGTGCCATTGCACAGAAGGGTCCACTCAAGACCCACAAGAGTAAGGGATGGCCCTAACTGGTTTGGCTCAGTGGATAGAGCGTCGGCCTGCGGTCTGAAAGCTCCCAGGTTCGATTCCAGTCAAGGGCATGTACCTTGGTTGCGGGCACATCCCCAGTAGGAGGTGTGCAGGAGGCAGCTGATCGATGTTTCTCTCTCATCGATGTTTCTAACTCTCTATCCCTCTCCCTTCCTCTCTGTAAAAAATCAATAAAATATATATATTTTTTTTAAAAAAAAGTGTGGAATGGCTCGGCTTTATGTGGACAACAGCCTGGGTGCTGCAGGGGACCTGGCCCTGGGAGGCCTGCTCTGTCTCAGCCTCGTGTGGGAAAGGACAGTGTGTGGTTTGACCCGACAACTTCCCCCGCACCCGGTAGCCACAGGACAATCAGAGATAAATAATGGAGCCCCACCCACCGTCAGGGGATTCTCAGTCTAGCAGACAGCACACAGAGAATAAGTCATTAAATGCAATCCTTGGCAGAGCCCTGGGGTAGCAGACAGAAGTGGGGACAGAAGAGGGACCCTTCCCCTGCCTGGTGGAACCAAGGCAGCCCCGAGGAGGCAGGCTTGGACTGTTACAAGCCGGAGTCTGCCTGCGAGTGAAGGAGGGCTTCCCCATCCAGGAGCAGGGAGAGCCTGAGAATGGCGTTCATGAGTGGCTCGTGTTCAGAAATTAGGAAAAGTTGATCATCAGGCTAAATTGATGGTGGGAACTGAATGCTTCTTTTTTTTCCTAATAAAATTCTACTAAAAGGAAAGAGCGAGGGGGGTTAGAAAAGCTAGTGAACCATAGGAATCACACTCTCCGGTGCCCCCAGGAGCAGGCGGGAAGCCACCCAGACGCAGTGACTGATCTGGAGAAGGAGGGGCGGACGGCTGGAGCCTGGAGAGCGCACCGCGGGGAGGATACCTGGGCTAGCAGCCCCAGCTTGTGATTTTTCAGGAGAAACTAGAACTGCTGGTTTCTGTGTAGAACCTCAATATACGTGTATCAGTGTTGGCCATTCAGAAAATAACTTTTAAACCAGGGGTGGGCAAACTTTTTGACTCGAGGGCCACAATGGGTTCTTAAACTGGACCGGAGGGCCGGGCCGGAACAAAAGCATGGATGGAGTGTTTGTGTGAACTAATATAAATTCAAAGTAAACATCATTACATAAAAGGGTACGGTCTTTTTTTTTCAATAGTTTTATTCATTTCAAACGGGCCGGATCCGGCCCATGGGCCGTAGTTTGCCCACGGCTATTTTAAACCCTATGGGGGTTGAGTGAAAGCATGGCTCCATCGAGAGCACGGGCGTGTGAGCTTCGGTGTGAGAAGCCAGGAGCACAGTAAGAGGACTACTGTGTCCACACACCGCCCTGAAAAGAAAGCAACAGGGAATGGTTCTCGCCAAGAAGATTCCTACAATGCACTCAGACTGGAACTGGGTGATGTCAGAAATATGGCTACAAATCTGTCTCTGTGTGATCAGCTTTCTGCTTTTCCATCCCTTTGTTCTCTATAATTAAGGGCATTTGCATGAAAAAATGATTTTGTGATGTTAGAGACTGTTAGGTCCTGCAGCCATCATTCCCCATCTGTGTTAGTGTGTGTGAGAGGGAGGACAGCGACCGTGAGAAGGGAGCACGATGTTTGCAGGGGATGGCGATGTCTGCAGTGGGATGGCGATGTCTGCAGTGGGGTGGCGATGTCTGCAGGGGATGGCGATGTCTGCAGTGGGATGGCGATGTCTGCAGTGGGGTGGCGATGTCTGCAGTGGGGTGGCGATGTCTGCAGTGGGGTGGCGATGTCTGCAGGGGATGGCGATGTCTGCAGTGGGATGGCGATGTCTGCAGGGGATGGCGATGTCTGCAGTGGGGTGGCGATGTCTGCAGGGGATGGCGATGTCTGCAGTGGGATGGCGATGTCTGCAGGGGATGGCGATGTCTGCAGTGGGGTGGCGATGTCTGCAGTGGGATGGCGATGTCTGCAGGGGATGGCGATGTCTGCAGGGGATGGCGACGTCTGCAGTGGGGTGGCGACGTCTGCAGTGGGGTGGCGATGTCTGCAGGGATGGCGGTGTCTGCAGGGGGGTAGCAATGTCTGCAGGGGATGGCGATGTCTGCAGGGGATGGCGTTGTCTGCAGGGGATGGCGATGTCTGCAGTGGGGTAGCGATGTCCGCAGGGGATGGCGATGTCTGCAGTGGGGTAGCGATGTCTGCAGTGGGGTAGCGATGTCTGCAGGGGATGGCGATGTCTGCAGTGGGGTAGCGATGTCTGCAGGGGATGGCGATGTCTGCAGGGGATGGCGATGTCTGCAGGTGGGATGGCGGCAGCAGAGCAGATGGGCTCAGACAGTGAGCCCCCCCAAATCCCCAACACACACACACACACACACACACACACACGGCAGCAAGTGTCCTGAGTAATTAAGATACAGGAAGAAATAGAGAAAACGTTGCATGGCTGTTAATATATTTTTCCTTTTTAAAATGTACCAAGAGATCCCAACAGCAATTTAATCATAAAAGACAATACCCTCTGCTTTCAGGTTTATCTGAGTATGTTCGGCCTTGCCAGCTAAATTTAACAACAAGCATTTTCTCTTGCTAACAACTATTCTCCCTCTCTCCTTTGCACTTCATTTAAAACTCGCTTCGTTATAAATTAATAGTAGTTATGCCTTATGTCACATTGAACCAAGTGACTTCTCTGGAGCACTGCTCGGGAAACACACACGTTGGCCGGACAGACGGAGCCTCCATTCAGAGCCCACACAGGGCAGAGGCTGTCCTTGCCTCTCATCGCTACCACCACTCTCTCTCTCTCCACGTTCCTCGCAGAGAACTGGAGGGAACAAAATAGCCAACATTCCAGCTGAATTTATTTCCAGTGACCATCGCTCACA